CACACCAGTCATTGGCTATAGGTCCCCCCCCGGGGGGGGGGTCGCTGGCTCCATAGTCCAGCAGCCAGCATCTAAAAGTTGTGTCAGCCATGAGCAGCAGAACAAACAGAATCTGAGTGCCCCGTGCCAGTAAAGCGAGCTGAGGATCTGTGTGGAGCATGGTATTCTATACACCCAGGAAGGATTTGGGCTTCCATCTCTCCCTCTTATCACAATTTGGCTCACTGACCCCACAGTTGGACAGGCCACACTAATGTTCCTGGGCTGATGTACGGGTTACCTGTGCGATCCCATCTTCAAAACTAGAGTGTTGCTGGGAGCTGTAACTCCGTGGTGAGTTTTCAGGGACCTGATCAAGATTCCAACTGCCTGAACGAAGGGTATGGTGAAAGGATGAAATAAGAAACAGAGACAAATTTAGTAACATGTGATAGGGGGCTGAGAGGCCAATACCTCAGGCTGGGCAGATATCAAGACACTCCAAACCAGCCACTATTTATTATGTGTATATAATGTAGGAGGGCAAGTGGAAGATTCAAACTCTACAGAAGATTCAGAGGTCCATGACTCAGCAGGCAACGGATAACCCAAGATGACTCAAGAGGGCGGAGATGATTTTATGCTAAAAAGAATCTTGCCCTAAAATGTTCTTTTCTTTTCTTTTTTTTTTTTTTGTCTTTTTCCTTTTTATCAGTACCGGGGATCAAACTCACGACTGCCTGCTTACAAGGCAGGTGCTTATGCCGCTGAACTAAATCCCCAGCCCCAATCTTGGTAGTTTTACTATAGTCTTAGTGGCGGGGAGAGGATGGCCCATCCCCAAAGAGTTAATAGAAAGGGCCAGGGACATAGCTCAGCAGCCTTAGTGCCTGCTTGATAAGCACAAGGTCCTGAGTTCAATTCCTGGTACAAAAAAAAAAAAAAGTTAATGAGAAGTCTCAAAAGGGTACCATAATTCCAAGCCTCCATTTATCCCTTAAGGAAGTATGCAAAGTTAGCCATTGTGAATTTATAGTCCCCAACAGCGAGTGCTTCCCAAGCATGTGCAAAGTTCTGGGTTCCATTGTTAGCCATAATTTAAAAAAAAATATTAAATGTGTGTATATACATTTTTGTCTCCTATTTTTTAACAATGTTTCCCAATGGTTTCTGCAAGGTATCCTGTCTATCAAATGTGTACTGAATAGACAGAAAAAGACTTTTTATCTCTACAAAGAGAGGTCTCAAGGATAATAATGGTCAGCCAGGCAACATTATAATATCCATACTAGCTAACTAACTCTAGCTTTATTGAGCACTTACTATATGCCAGAAAGTACTCTTTAAGTTGTTTACCTTCAATATATTAAATCCATTGCTATGCCAGGGAGATATCATTGTTTCCATTTTATGGGAAGAACTCTAAGCTAATATAATGGGTGAGCTGGGATTTAAATCTCCAAGCAATTTGACTCTGGAGCCTGAGCTTTTAACTTCCCTTTCTAAAAGGTGTAATTTTATTATGTGTTAAGTAAACACAGGTCCATAAGATGAAATATTAATAATACAAGGAAAAACATGAGAAACTATTTTATTGGAGATATGCTACTAAATTTTTAGAACAAGTAATCAAATATAAATAAGGACACAGAATATATGAACTTAGAAATTTTTTGCTTTGAAAACAAAGAGTATAACTGCTTTTCAAACTTAATGGACAGTGTTGGGGATTTAGCTCAGTGGTATAAGCGTCTGCCTTGCAAGTGTGTTGTTGTGAGTTTGAAACCTGGTACTGATAAAAAAAAAATCCCTGCTCAAATTTAATAGACAGTGACAAAAATCAATAAATATTAAACTATAGAGGATATTTTGGCAAATTTTGAAAAATGGAAATTTTACAAACTATTGTCCCACCAAAATGTAATACAACTAACAATAATATGAAACATGCCACTTAGAAATTTTAAAGCATAAATAGCATCTCATTATCATTAGAACAAGAAACCAAGAATATAAATGGAAGGGCTGGGGATTTAGCTCAGTGGCATAAGTGCCTCCCTTGTAAGCACATGGTCATGAGTTTGATCCCTGGTTAAAAAAAAAAAAGAATATAAATGGATTATTTAGAAAATAATTTTTAAAAATAGGGTATACTCAAAGCTAAGTGCAGGGAGGGGCAAGAGATTTAGCTCAGCAGCTCAAGCACTTGCCAGGTAAGCGTGAAGTTATGAGTTCGGTCCCTGATACCATAAAAAACAAAACAAAACTTTGCATAAACAAACAGCATTAAGTGCTTTCAGTGTCAAAAAGAGAAAAATTAATAAATGAATTGAGCATGCAAATTGAGGTTTTGGAAAATAGTGTAACAACAGCCCCCCCATAGAAAAAAGATGAATATTTGACATAGAAAATGGAAAAAAGAGAAATAACTAAAAGGTGATGGGACATGTTTTCTGCCTGTGGATACAGAGGTACTTAGCAGCACCCATGTGAATTTGGGTCTTTAAGAGGTATTTTCAGTATGTTCCACCTTAAGTGGCACTGTGTTACTCTACAATTAAGTCTTTCCACTTAGGCTACCTTACTGTTTTTTGTTTGTTTATTTGGTTTTGTTTTCTTAGAAAGGCTCTAGCTATGCTCTTCAGGCTTTCCTTGAACTCACTATGTCGCCCTGACCGGCCTTGAACTCACAGTGATACTCTTGCCTCCGCCTCCCAAGTGCTGGGTTACAGGCAGGCACCACACATCAGGGGAGCTCCCTTACTATACTTGACAGAACAGGATCTCTGGACTCATTACTGAGAGCCTGATATGGGTTGGGCCCTTCATAAATGTTAGCTTAAATTGCTGAACAGAAAGAATGGATGGGCTCAAGACTGATCTTGAGTTCACGTGGTTCTGAGTTGCTCCTGTTTCTTCTACCTGGCTGCAGGCCCAGAGCCAGTGTCATCAGACAATAAGAACCTAGAGATATCTGCCTAAAGGAATTTTATACAACCAACAATGATTGTTCTTAAAATGTCCAAAAAAATATGAAGGTGTGGGGTTGCTTTTATTTATCTCCTCTTACCCACTGAATAATCAAAGGTTTCTTTTGTGAAATTGATCCCCAAGACTCAGTTCAAACACTGCCTTCTCTAGAGACCATCCATGATTTTTCCAACCAGCAACAACCTATGTTTCTTGTGCTTCCACAGCATCTATCTTTGATCTTGTCCTCTTGAAATCCTGCTTTTGGTCATTTGTATCTGCCAATGACTTGTCAGCGCGGTCTAGGCAGCTTTCTCGTGCACTACCACCGCTGATCAGAAGATGCACTGGGATGTTGATCCAGCCTTGAACTCATCTCCCTGGTACTCAGGGGTGGAGAGTGAGGCAGAAACATCATAGAGGTTTCAAAGGTTGGCTGCTTGGATGACCATGGTGAACCCAAAGCAGCTCAGAGCAAAGGCTCAAGGCTCCCACGTAGACTGCCATGAAGTGCAGAGACCAGCCCGGGGACACTCACACCTACCCTGCACCTGGTTGAGAAAGGGAGCAAAATGAGACTGAGGGAGGGAGGATTTCTGACATATTCCTAGGCTGAAAGATGCAGTTGAGACAGGTGTGTGGTTTTTATTTTTGGCTTTTTGAGACAGGGTCTCACTACGTGGTTCAGGCTGACCTTGGGCTCACTTTGTAGTCCAGGCTGGTCTCAAACTTGCAACGGTCTGCCTGCCTTAAGCCTCTGAGTGCGGGGACTACAGGAGTGCATCATCACATCAGGCTCTTAGACAGGTGTTTGGATCATTCTTTTGAATTCAAGGCCAGCCTGAACTGACCTGAGGAACCAGGAGAGGACCCACTGGGAAGTCCTCAGTAGCAAGAGACAAGCAAAGATACATGAGAGAGAACCGTAGCATTAGCCCTTCATGTTGTCTTTACTTGGCTGTCAGAACAATCACTCTAAAACTCAGATCATACACTGTCACACTTTACTATTTAGAGCTTTTCGAATTTCCCACAGCACTCAGGATTCTCAGCTTCATGTGACCTGGCCTCCACTGACCCCTCCTGCCCCATACCATCTCTACGTATGTCCCAAGCAGTGAAGACCCACAGGATTATTAATCTGACCCCTTTTGCTCCTCACTTCAATGCCTACAATGCATTCACACAACAAGCAGGGTAGGTTTATATGCAAATGAATTTTGTCACTTCAGTGAAATTAGGGTGAAAACCAGGCTTTCAACTGGATATGGTAACACACGCCTGTAATCTTAGCACTTGGGAGGCTGAGGCAGGAGGATTATTGCAAGTTCGAGACCAGCCTGGGCTACAAAGTGAGCTCAAGGCCAGCCTGAACTGCATAGAGAGACCATGTCTTAAAAAAAAAATTCCAAGTGTTCCATCCAATAATAAAAATAAAGAAGTAAGCTGTGCACCCTGGCACACACTTGCAATCTTAGCTACTCTGGAGGCTGAGGCAGGAAGATAGAAAACTCGAGGCCATAATGGGCAACTTAGTAAGATGGTGTCTCAAAATAGAAATAAATAAAGGACTGGAGCTGTAATTCAGTGGTAGAGCACTTGCCCAGCATATGCAAGATCCAGGGCTCAATGCCTAGTGCTGTGGGCAGTAAATATCTATAATTTTTCCTGTATTTATATGGTAAAGAATGTCAAACGTTGACTGATAAATGTGGGGGAGTCCTGGAGCTGGAGTTAGCATTTTGTAACCACCCTGAAAATTTATTCAGTCAAGAACCATCAGCAGATGTTAACTCTATTTAAACTTTGACATGGAATGGAATATTTCTGTGGTCATAAAGTATCTCCCCATAGATGGCTTACTAACTATTAGGAACTATGAATTGGAGAAATCTGACCATATCTTGACAGTGTAATCTAAATTCACCAAAGATGAACAGATGGACACTGTGCGGCTCTAGTGGGTATACAAGAAGGACACGATCTCACGTACGCAGTTTTTCAGCAATGACTACATTACTCATATATAATAATGAAAAAACAGCAGACAATGCAAAAGAAGAAACAATCTATTAAAATAAAGAAGACTGAATTCTTTGAAAATTTCAACATCATAAAAGACAAAGAAAGGCTAACCACTCCAGAATAAAAGGTTCTAAAGAGAAATAACAACATAATACAACACATCATTCCCAGACCAGCTCCTGTACTAAAGGGAAAAAATGTTATATAAAGGCTTATTTGACACAGAGACAGAGACAAGTGACTAAAGATATGGGTGAATTAGCTGGGATAGTGTGTCATTATTAAATTTAGTGAAGTGGGTAACTGTATTATGGTAGGAACATGCACTGTATTTAGGGGTAAAGGACTATGATATATTTAACTCACTCTCATTAGTTCAGAATCAAAGTCATATATCTATGTTGAAGATGAAGTGAAAGTGACAAGTGGCACACTGTAAATGTTAACAGTAGGTGAGTTTTGGGCAAAGGATATACGGATGTCTTTTGTAGTCGGCTCTATGACTCCAGTGCTTACAATGAATTCTCACACAGTAGTCAAGTGGATTTATACACACACTGAATCATGTCATTCCATTGAAGTGAGACAAAAACCAGGTTTCTAGTTACTTTCTGTAACTATAATTACTGTCTATAACTTTGAAATTATTTCCAAATATAAAGTGAAACCAAATAATCCAAGTTCCTTACTATGGCCCTCAAGATCTCTGCCCCTGCCCTCATCCAGTCCCGACACCATCAGCTCCAGTCCACGGATCTTATTTCCGTTTTCCCAGCATACCAAGCTCTTGCCTGCCTCTGGCTATGTTCCCACTGTTGCCTTTATATTGAATTCTTCTCCCCTGCTCAGGTCTCAGGGAGACAGTATTTTCATTTTCTCAAAAACGTCTTTTCACCCTCCCCCTTCCAGTTCTCTCATGGCACCCGTCCTGAACTTCTCCATCAAAACCCTCAGAAGTTTTGTAGTTCGGAGGACTGCTTAATGTTTGTCTTCTCCAGTGGCCTGGAGCTTCCTGAAGCTGGGGCTCCTGTCCTTTCCTCGTGGATGCGTCTTCCACTTCAGCCTCTAGGTCTGGCTCATTACTGGGTACCCAGCAGACAGCTGAGGACATAAACTCCACTCTCCAAGTTCTCCTCTAAACCGTTGGCAGCTCTCAGAACATACCCAACAGTCTACTAGCCCCAAGAACTTATTCAAGAGGCTTCTTCTGTCAGGTGTGGTGGTGCACACCTGATATCCCAGCACTTGTGAGGCTGAGGCAGGAGGATCACTCTGAATATGAGGCCAGTCTGGACCACACAGTGAGTTCAAGGTCAGCCTAAACTACATAGTGAGACCCTGTTTCAAAAAACAAACAAACAAACAAACAAAAAAACAGAAAACAGAAAAAAAGAAAAGTCCTTTTCACTGAAGGCTTCCTAGACGTGTCCCCCCCCCCGCCGCCCAATAGAGGCCATGGTAAAGCGGGGTGGTGAGGGGAACCCCAGGAGAGCTGTGTAAAAGGAAAGATGTGCATCAGACGGAACCTGGGAGCTTCAGAGAGTACACGTCAAGGAGGCAGTTGCTTGACCAGGCTGGTGCTCACAAGGGCACTGTGGACTGGAAGTGGTGACTAGGAATGGAAGGCATCAACTGTGTAAAGTCCAGGGACTGGGTACAAAGACCCAGACTTAAGGGCTAAGCAGAGAAAAGCAGCAAGAAACAGTTCAGAGAAGTAAGAGCAATATCAGGAGAGACAACTGTTACCAAAGGCAAGACAGGAGGACAATCGGGCATCAAAACCTTATAAACCTGGATTTTCTTCCTTGCTCCAGGTCAGCAATCTGGCACCCGGTGGGCTAAGAGAGTTCAGTGCTGGTGAAAGACTTCGACTCTGGATCCTGACTCCGAGACATAGAAGGTGGGTGACTGTGGGCATAACTTTCCCAGACTCCACACCGCATCTAAAATAATGCAGTAGTGCTATTATGTACTTTATGGGGCTGCTGTCAGGATTACATCAGAGCATCTTTGGATTACATGAGATCATTTTGAACCATGCTTGATCTAAATTCCAGGAAAAGAAGGGCATCACATTTGCACCTGCAGCAGGGAGAGGACGCACTGTTTCTAGCTAATGGGAATGTTGCCTAAATCCAGCCTTGTATCAATAAGTTCCAGACAAGATTTAGAAAGCCCCCATCACAACCATTTGTTATATGCTCTCTTCCTACTGAATCCGACTGGAAAAAAACCTGTCTTTCTCCAAAGATTCCTTGAACATCAGCTTTCTTCTTGTCCCCAAGAGTGCAATTATACCATGCTAGAGTTTGCCCACTTGACTCTCACCTGAAAGCACTTTGCACCCTGTTTTCCAGCTAACCATGATGATATCTCCTCAACACATTTACTGTTTATGAATATAATTAAGTATTCTTAGGCTCCCTAGAATACTCGAGAAAAGAGAAGCATGTGGTAACATTTCACAGCTTAGAAAACACTTTCCCACCATCCCTCCCCCTTTCATCCTCACAACTGCCCTGTGAGGTAGATGCAGCGGATAACTGGTCCACATTTGTCAAGCATTTACAACATACCATGCTCCATGTTAAGCATTTTCATATGTAATCTAATTTAAACTCACCAAAAACACTATGAAATAGACTCAGTCAGTGTCCCCATTTTACAGAAGAGAAAATTCATGGAGTGGTTAGAACTTGCCCCAAATCAAAGAGGTAGTAAGTCATGGAGTTAGGATTTGAACCTCAGACTGTCCGACTCCAAAGCCACCCTTTCAGCCCTTCTACAAAATTGTCTCACAAAGTAAGCACATTATCCCAAGTCATTATTTTATCCATTCAGCTGAAGCTCAGAGAGTAAAGGGACTCATCCCAGGTCCCACAACTAGGAACTGCAAAGCGGGAATCTATATTAGATCCTCTGATTCTGAGGCTTCTGACATTTGAGATGCCTCAATGGCTGAGCTTGACAAAATACTAAATATTTCTGCAGCAGACTTTCCTTCCAGTCCTGCTCAGCGCAGGATAGTGTTTTTAGGCAGGAATTCCTTCCTGGAATTCATTGGGAAATGTGTGTTTTCTGAATCTCAAACATGATCTGCAAGGAAAAAAGACTATACTTTTGACAACTCTTGACAACATAGAAGAGTTCCTAGTTTGAAGGAATTACTGATATAAGTGAAAAATGAGAAAAGGATACATTACATGTGGAATGTAAAGTTAATGTAGACATTTCTGAAACTTGGAACAGAAGCCCATAGGAGACATTGTCACAGCTTAATGACTTTTTGTAGCTGTTGGCATATTAAAAGTCGTGGCCTGTGTGCTGAGAAATTATGTTTATATGCATACTATATTTTATACAAATTCTATGATGGTCCAAGGAATAAAATGTCCTGAAAATAACTCCTGATATCGGCAATTTCAACACGACTGTGTAGTGCTGTTAATCTAGTTAAATATTTAAACATTTTGCTATTGAACTATTACCAATAGTGTTTGCTGACATTTTCCACTTTTTGAATATTTTCTATGGCCTATAGTTTTTTTTAAAACTACTACTAAATTTGTATTTATTTGTTTAAAAAAGAAAGTCATGAAAAAGAATAATAGATTTCAGGAATTTTCAAGAATTTCAATTTTCATTCCTAAATCCAGCAGATTAGTATCTGTTGGGAATTTGGAAACTTTATCAAGTTTTGTGCTTTGAATTTCCCAAGCAACCCAGTGTGATAGCAAATGGTATACAGAAGCCATCTTCCCTGGCCTCCAGGAAATCTCCACCCAGAACTAGTCTGGAATTATGCTTCCTTCACCATCATCTCTTTACAGTTGTTAAAAGATATCATTCCCGGATCCACGGGCTGAGTCTGAGCACTGGTCTGAAGAATCATCTACGTTCCCCCAAATTTCATCTCAGTCATTGCTACAATTGCTCATTTTCCTCCTGGGAGTATCTGCTTGCTTCTGTATAGAAGTATTCTATACAATCTGCACTGAGAAAAAACATATGCACATACGTGGATACCTTGGCAAACTAAGAGCCTTATTCCCACATGTTCAGCACAAGGAGCCGTATTGTAGAGGGGCTATGGAGTCAGGCAGGCATACTGGGTCCGAATGCTGGTTTTGCCACAAACGGGCTGTGTCTGACTTTGGGCAAGTTCCTTAACCTCTTGGAGAGTTAGTTACTCCATCTGTAAAATGCTGACAATACCTATAACAGGGATGTTGTGAGGATCAAATGAAATAATTCCCATAAATCGCAATGACTGACACACAATAAGCCCGCAACAGATGGGGACACTATGATTAGTGTGACGCCTGATAAAGTCTGGAAGTCAGACGTTGATGAAAACCCCTCCTGCAAGCACTCGGGGCTCCTTCCCCAGGAGTTTCTCCAGCTGGGGCGTTTCCAGGGCGGCTGGCCGGCTCAGGGCTGTGCCAGCAGTCTCCCTTGGCCCCTCCACGCGGGTCCGCAGGCTTGAAGGCCTCTAGGCTGTGAGACTCCCAGGTTGGCGATGGCTCAGCGTCTGAGGGGAAACAACAGCTTCGTCCTGGCACTAGGGGTCACCACCCCACAAGCCACAAAGGGAAGGGCAGGACTCTGATGCTAGCAAGCTCCTCGCACGTATCCCTTGCTGTCTGCAGTCTGTGTGGCTGTGTGCCTGCGAGAATGGCCCCACTCTGCCCAAGTCAAGGTGCTGCCGCTCGGCACACCCACTTGAGGAAGTTTGGCGGGTAGCTGTGCAGGTATCCGAGGAAGTGGCAAGGCCTCTGGTGTGCACCCATCTCTGCACACAAGGAAAGGTCCTCAGGCGCCCAGTGTGGTCCCAGTTCTGCCGCCTTCCACACCATGAGGCCCACTTGTGGGCAGGAAAGGTAGGGTGGAGGCATAGGTGCAGGGCGTTCACCCTGGATGCTCCAGCTTGGGTATGGAGGTGGGAACCGAGAGGCTTCAGGGCCTGGCCTTGCTGGGAAGCTGGCTCACCTTCCCTTCCCTTGGGGGATCGTCCTAGGTGCCCTTGGTGCCTTGCTTCCTCCCCCCGGGGCTCTGGCATCTGGCACTGCAGAACTGGGCCGGGCATTTGTCCGGAGGCCTCTCCTGGGCAGGAGCCTCCTGAGGGGCTCTGTCTTCAGGCCTTTCTCTTGCAGGGCTCTCCTGGTCATTCTTACTCCTGAGTCCTGCGGGGAAAGAAGAAAATCGGGGTAGTATTCTCTCTCGTCTTCACAACAACTAAGGCTAGAAAAACCCTGCATTGGGAGTCCTATGTGAGGCAACATGGTGAAAATCTCTTGTAAACAAGTACGCTGTACATTTTTGACAGCAGGCAGGGAATGAGGCAGAGACTTGTGGGAAACTTTAGGAGTTTAGTTTCTGAAAATAGTGCTGGGTTTGAATCTGTAGCCCTTTCATGCAGTGTAATCCTGGATACGCATCTTGTCTTTGTTAAAAGATGCAGATGATAGCTTCAAAGGATTTTGTGTGGTTGGTGAATCCGCAGACCATCAAGGCAGAGTCTAGCAATGATATATTAAATTGAACAATCGACATGAATTTTACCTTAAGGAAAACTTTTTCTTATTTTGTTACCATTAGAGTTTCTTAACCTAATTGTATTTAACAGTGATAACACTATTTAAATACAATTTAAATATTTACTATTTAAATAATCAGGAGTCCCATAAGTTAAATAAATCAGACACACATGTGTAAACATCATATTGTCTCACTAGTGTGAGAAGCTGAAAGAAACAACATATGTATATTTTATATATATAATGAAGATAATTATACTACTGATTTTTCTGAGTTCATTGAAGAGAAAGATTTATGCTGGCATTGTTCGGACTACTGAATGCAGATGTCTTGTCCTCTAGGTGACTGATTTGGGGATGGCAATGCGCAATGTATGTACCATAGTTGCCCGATTGTCATATTTTGAATTTTTTTCTTTTCTCTCTTTGAAATAAAATGGATTTGAAAAAAATAATAATTAGTCCTTTGAGAGCAGCTGATTAAATTCTTTGAAAGAAGAGAAGTCAAAATAGGTCTACAACATCCTATTGATACCAGAAAGCAAAGATGTGCTTTAAGAAGGATGGTGAGGACCGGGGATTTAGCTCAGTGGTATACGCTCCTGCATGGCAAGTGCAAGGTCATGAGTTCAATCCCTGGTACAGAAAAAAAAAAAGGAGGATGATGATACAAAGATGGAGATGATAATTAAATGGGTTGTCACTGTGCAAGCTGTAACAATTTAACCATCCTATAATATAAAATATGCTCAAGTGAAATATCTAGGAAAAGCTGTGATTCCATAGGCCACTCTATTAAATTATGATAAAGTCTTTAAAAAGTTAATTGTACCAAGAAGGATAATGGTGATAGATATGTATCATTTTGATAATAGTTATAGGTAGGAGAGTGTTAATATATGGCTATTTTGTTTCTTCTGGTTTTCTTCTCTATAAGGAATAAATATGCACTACAGTACTGGCTACCCATGCAAGGAGGGAAGAACAGAATCAGTGAATGAGTCTGGCAAGCCAACCAGCAAAGCTCCCATGATGACCCGACAGTACTGATGAACATATGGCATAACCAGGTGGGAGGAGATTTCTCTACTGTGTTCTAAAATGATGAAATATCCATGAAAACTGAGTTAAACATTCTATCTGTTTTCCTAATAAGAGAGTTCTCAACCTAGGAAGCTTCAAAACAAAATACAACTCTAGGTCCTTTATCCCCAGACTATTATAAAGGGCTAATATCCAGAATATATAAAGAACCCCTGAAACTTTTTTCCAAATCTTTTTTATTTCAAAGAGAAAAACCAAATCAAACAAACAAAAAATTAAGCAGAGAGCTGGGCATGGTGGCACATGCCTATAATCCCAGCATTTGGGTGGTTGTGGCAGGAGGATTGTTGTGAGCTTGAGGTCAGCCTGGGCTACACAATGCATGCAAGGTCAGCTTGAACTGTATAGTGAAGCCCTGTCTCAAAAAGACTAAATAAATAAATAAAACAAAATTTTAAAGTACATCAATCGGGGGCAACAATAGTACATACACTGCACTCTGCCATCTCCAAATCATTCACCCAGAGCACAAGATATCTGCGCTCAGTTGTCCGAACAATACCAGTACAAATCTTTCTCTTCAGTGAACTCAGAGAAATCAGTAGTGTAAGGATCTTAACTATCTTTTATATACATATATACATACACATGTTGTTTCTTTCAGCTTCTCATACTAGTGAGACACTACTATGTTTGCATATGCGTGTCTCATTTATTTCACTTATAAGAATGATCTCAAGTTCTATCCATTTACCTATAAAAGTCTCCAGTTTATCCTTCTTTATAGCTGGGTAGTACTCTATTGTATAAAAATACATCTTTTTTATCAATTCCTCAGGCTGTGGGCATTTAGGTTGTTTCCAAGATCTAACTATTATAAATTGTGCTATTATAAACATAGGTACACATATATCACTGTGGTATGATGTTTTTAATTCTTTTGGGAAGATACCCAGAATAGCTGTGTTGAGTGGGATCTCCAGTCCTAGGTTCTTGAGGAATTTTCATATTGATTTCCACAGTGGTTGCACCAGTCTGCATTCCCTCCAACACTAGAGTAAATCTCTGGAACTTAACAAAACAATAACCACTACAGTTTAAAAAAAAAAAAAAAAGGCAGATGAACCAGGCAAGATGATGCATGGCTGTAATCCCAACTGATCAGGACGCTAAAGCAGGAGGATTGGAAATTTGAGGCCAGCCTGGCAATTTAGTGAGACCTTCAAAAAATACAAAGGTCTGGGATTGTAGGTTAGTGTTCCCTGGGTTCAGCCCTTGTATTGCCAGAAAAAAAAAGAAAAGCCAAACATAGTGGTGTACATTTGTAATCTCAGCACGCTGGGAGGCTGAGGTAGGAGAAATGCAAAATGAAGGTGATTTAGCGAGACCCTGTCTCAAAAAAATTTTAAAAGGCTGGAGAATGTGGCTTAGTGCAAAGGCCCTGGGTTCAGTCCCCAGTACAGAAAAACGAAACAAAACAAAACAAACAAAGGCCACCAAACACATGACAAGATATTCAACTTCAGTAATCATTAGAGAACTACAAGTTCAAACCACAATACTACTACTGCAAAACCATCAGAATGGGTGCTGTAAAAAAAAAAGGGTGCTGTCAAAAGAAAAGTATTGAGTGTTGGGGAGGATATGGAGAAATTTAAACCCCCATGCACTGTTGGTGAAAATGTGAAATGGTACAACTGCTGTGGATGTCCAACATCACTAACCATAAAGAAAATTTAGGGGCTGGGGATTTAGCTCAGCGGCATAAGCTCCTGCCTTGCAAGCAGGCAGTCCTGAGTTCGATCCCTGGTACCGATAAAAAGGAAAAAGACAAAAAAAAAAAAAAAAAAAATTAAAAATGTATATAAATCAAAACCACTGTGGCAGTTTCCCAAAAAAGATCTAGCAATGCCAGTTACTGTGTATAAAATGAAAGAAATAAAGCCAGGTGTGGTTGGGCACGCCTGTAATCCCAGCATTCAGGAGGCTGAGCTAGGAGGATTGTTGCAAATTCCAGACCAGCCTGGACTACAAAGTGAGCTCAAGGCCAGCCTGACTGCATAGTGTCTCAAAGACAAAAGACAAAAGACAAAAGACGAAAGACAAAAATAAAAAAAGGAAATGAAAGCAAAGTCTTAAGAAATATTTAAATATTTAACCACCTATATTTATAGCAGCATTACTCACAATAGCCAAGGAACAGAAGGAACCCAAATGTCCTTTGACTGATAAATGAATAAACAAACTGTTATTTACATACATTGGAATATTATTCATCTTTGCGAGAGAAGTCTGACAATGTGGATGATCCTTAAGAACACTATGTTAGGTAAAGTATGCCAGTTGCAAAAGGATAAATCATACCATGTGGTTCTAGGTGTACGTGAGAACTTGAATATTCAAATTCTTAGAAAGTGAAATGGTGGTTGCCAGGGCCAGGGAGAAGGGGAAAATGGGGAGTGATTGTTTATATGGTTTCAGTTTTGTAAGATGAGAAAAAAGTTCTGGAAATGGATGGTGTTCTTGGTTCACAATAGTGTAAATAGGGGCAGGAGATTTACCTCCGTAGCATAAGCGTCTGCCTGGTAAGTACAGGTTGTGAGTTTGATCTCCAGTACCGAAAAAACCAAAAAAAATAGTGTAAATATATTTAAATCATGGAAATTTATGCATATTTTACCACGGTTGTAAAAAAAGATCTCCACATTCCCAATATGCAGCCAGGTCTGGGTAAAGGGCAGGGAAGGATGTATGTAAAACCGCAGTGACCTTACCATTTTTAAGTTAATACTGGAATAGGTAGGTTGTGGGTGTGTCCATACTGTGGGAAGTACCAAAGGCCTCTAGCATGCCAAGCATGTGCTGTATCACTGAGCTACATTTCCCAAATAGAATAAATAGGGCTTTTTTTTTTTTTTTTTTTTTTTTGTCTTTTTCCTTTTTATCGGTACCAGGGATCGAACTCACAACTTCCTGCTTGCAAGGCAGGTGCTTATGCTGCTGAGCTAAATCCCCAGCCCCTAAATAGGGGTTTTTTTGTTTTTTGAGACAGGGTCATCCTGTTGTTTTGTTCAGGCCAGCTTTGAGTTCACTATGTAGCACAGGATTGCTTCAGACCGGCAACGATCCTCCTACCTCACCCTCACCCTATCCAGTAGTGGGATAACAGGCATGTGCCACCATGCCTGGCCTTGAATAGATAAGTCTTTTTTTTTTTTTTTTTTTTTTTTTTTGTCTTTTTCGTTTTTATCGGTACCAGGGATTGAACTCACCACTTGCAAGGCAGGTGCTTATGCCGCTGAGCTAAATCCCCAGCTCCGAATAGATAAGTCTTAATAGGCCTGGTCAGTGTATCATAATGAAAGGAGACAATGGCCTAGGTTTTGATAACCATGTCACACTTCAAATATTGTATCCAGGAAAGATACCAAAGTTCAAAAATTAATATTTTATAAAAGTCAGCTAAATATATGGCTGGAGATGTAGCTGGGTGGTAGAGGGCTTCTCTAGCATGTGTTAGGCTCTAAATTCATTCTCTAGCACAAAAATAAAAATAAATAAAATGAATAAGTTGATAAGATAATTCTGTTAAATATGTGGATCTTACTGGATTAGAAATCAAACAAACGAAAAAATTTTAGTTGATACTTATAGGGTAACTGAGATTTTAATTATACAGTATACTTGATATTAAGAAATATTCAGTGTATATTTTGTTAGAAAACTTACTATAGTTTTTTAGTTGTGATAATGGTATTGTGGCTTAAAGTCTTTATGTTTTAGAGAATCATAGAATTTCATCTGTGATAGCTGGGATTTGCTTGAAAATAATAAGGAAAGTTTAAGGCCATGAGCTGATAACTGGTGCTGCTGAATGACAGGTTCTGGGGATCTCACGTGCTATGATACTTACTTTCTAAGTGTTTGATAGGAAAATGTTTTTTTTTTTTTTTACAGATACAAAAAAAAAACAGGAAAAACAGAGGAAGTTTTTTTTTTTGGGGGGGTGGGGTGGGGTGGGTACTGGGAATTGCACTCAGAACCTTGCACTTGCCAGGTTGGCATCTGTGCTGTTGAGCTATATCCCCAACCCAAAAAGGGAAATTTAAAAGTACCACATAGTGAAAAGAAGCACTTGACCGTGAAAGGTGGTAGTGCTAGTGATGAGTGGTGTTCAGGTTTCACCTTTTTGTTTTTCTTTTGGTGCTGGGAATCAAACTCATGATGCTGTGCTTGCCAAGTCGGCGCTGTGCTGCTGAGCTGTACCCCCAGCCCCAGGTTTAAATCTTTAGAGCTGCACAACCTGATTCCATCTCTACCCAGAACCTGCAGTCTTTGCCTATTCTGAGAGTTTTCCTTTTCTTTTGGGTCTAGTAGGATTACAAAAACTCTAAGAAGGTATGAAAATAATAACTGGTAGAATTTCTGAAATCTAGAAAGGTGTACAAATTGGAATCCCTGAAACATATTAGAATAAGAGTAAGAAAAAAAAATAAACTTATGGTTTTTAAAACTTTAATAACAGGTTTTGGTGGCAGAGTTTTAATAAATTCTATAATCACTGTGTTTCTGTATGCTTAAAACAAATACAGTAGTGAAAATCACTAGCCATAGTAAATTTGTATTTGCAGTTTAAATTATTTAAGATATTTTTATTGTCAGGTATGATGGTATACACCTAGTACTAGCTACTGAGGAGGCTAAGTCAGGAGGATTACTTGACCCCAGAAGTTTGAAATTTGTTTAGGGAACATAGTGAGACTTCTACCTCAAAAATAAAAACAACTTTAATAGAACAAATTTGTAATCAAAGCCTAAATCCCTTATGAAAATGGCTTTTTTTGGTTAGTCTAATAAATTTACCAATGAAATAGAGAAATGAATATTTCTTCCCAGCCCAGACTTCTCTTAAATATAAATACATTAGTGGGTTCTGGTGGGGACTTTAAGATGTCAATAAAGCACTTGGCCCGGGGCCAGAGACATAGGATGTCCTCAAGTACAGGTACAAATGAGTTTATTAGCTGGCCATGGTGGTGCATGCCTATCATCCCAGTATTTGGGAGGCTTAGACAAAATGATAGTTCTGAGTTCGAGGCCAGTCTGGGCTAAATAGCGATTTCAAGTCCAGTCTAAACTATACAGTGAGACCCTGTCTCAAAAAGAAAAAAAATCAAATGACTTTACTTATTGGAAAGGGAAGGACTTGGCGGCAGTAGCTGTTAGTAGAGCCCAAAGTGAGCCTCCCAACTTGTGCTCTCTACCTGAGTGATGAGGTGGGATCCTGGTCATTCAGTCCTTCAGCACATGATCATTAGCCCAGAAAGGTGCCAGTACTGAACTTAACAACAGTGAGCAAGAGAAGACCCTACCTCTTCCTGCTTCCAAGGTTTCCATCCAAGTCCCACTGGCTGTTTGTTTGTTTGTCTTGGTGGAGACTGAACTAGGGCAGACTTCTGTCTTCTGAACAAGTCTTCTACCACTAAACCATATCCTCAGCTATGTCAATGGATGAAAATAAATGAAGGAAGAATATGAGGATTAAAGATTTGGGGGGAGGGGATGTCTCCAAAGATAGTAAGTAGAGTGGGCGAGTGGTTGGAATTTTGAGTTTATGTGTAAGATCAAAGAGTCTCTAGGCTCAGGGCCATTGCTCCTCTTTATACAATACACAACTCATGGGGGTGCCCTTCACTTCTAGGTACGCAGAGGTTTATATAATTATCCCAACACATTTCTAAAACACTAGCAGTAAGTTATCTTAAGGAAATGACACTTTTTTCCAATTCATACAGAGTTGCTAAGGATTTATGAAGCTAATGGGATATAGCTCAATGATAGCACACCTCCCTAGCATGAGTGACACTCTGGGTTCAATCCCCTGTATCACAAAAGGAGAGACTATTAGTGAACTGAGAATCTGACTGTGATCACTCCAAATGTCTGAGTTTGTAACACGCTTTCTGTTCTATAAGGTTTTTTCCTCCCATACTTTCTTAGTAGCTTTTGTGCTGGGCTAGGATCTAAGAGACCTGTGGCAGAGAGGTTTCTCAAGATTTAAAGCAGTAGTGGTGAACCTATGGCACACAGGTGTCACGGGAGGCTGTTTGCTTTCCCTGAAAGCTCTAAAAGGTTTCCATCATTGCTCAAAGGTCAAAACAGGCATTCCTTTGTATAGTAGGCATAATACTGAAAGCAGCTCCCTAAGATTCCTGTACCTGGTTATTCAGTCAAACACTAATCTAGGTTTATGGTTTGTTGCTGTTTTGTTTTGTTTTTTTCAAATCCATTTTATTAAAAAAAAAAAAGAAAGAAAAAAACTACAATAAAATTTTAGAGCACATCAATTGGGGTAACGTTGTTTTGGTTTTTGAGACTGGGCCTCACTATGTAGTTAAGACTGGTCTTGAACTCAGTATGTAGCTGAGGCTGGACTTGAATTTGCAGCAATCCCTCTGTCTCAGCCTCCCAAATGCTGACAGTATAGGTGTGCATCACCACACCTGGCACTAATCTAGGTTTTGGCGTGAAATAATTTTGCAGATATAATTAAAGTTCTGTCTTTAATCTTAGAATTAAAGGTCCACATCAGTTGATGATAAGATATAGATACTACTGTCTAGGGCTGGGGATATAGCTCAGTGGTGAAGCACCTGCCTGGCAAGCACAAGGCCCTGGGTTTGATTCCTGGTACCAAAAAGAAAAGAAAAAAAACCAAAAAAACAAAAAAAATACTATTGTCTAATTAGGTAGCTATTTATTTATTTAGAGACAGATCTTAATATGTAGTCCAGGCTGGCCTCAAATTCATGGCAGTTCTTCTGCCTCAGCCTCCAAAGTCCTGGGATTGGGTCAGGGATTTAACTCAGTGGTGTGAGCACCTGCCCGGCAAGTGCAAGATTGTAAGTTTAAACCCTGACACCAAAAAACAAAAACAAAAACTGGAATTTTGGTATTTATCATTAAGCTTGGTGAGGTAGCTATTTAAAAACAAGAATTTTTTTGGAGGGCTGAGGTAGGAGGGTTGCTTGAGTTCAGGAGTTTGAAACCAGGTTGGGCAATATAATGAGGTCCTGCCTCTGAAAAACAAAAATGGTTTACTCTGGTAGCAGAAGAGATTCAAAGCTTGAGGGGCACTAGAGCCATCGTTAGCTTGAGGGTGGAGGGTGTGGTTTTAAGGAACCCTTGTGCTGGCCAATGCAGAGGGTATGGAGAGAGCCCTTCCTGGCCGACAGCCAGCACAGAAGCAGCCAACACAGTACTACCTGCACAGGCCAGGTGTAGTGACACATGCCTGTAATCCCAGCACTAGGGAGACTGAGGCAGGAGGACTGCTGCAAGTTTGAGGCCAGCATGGACTACAAAGTGAGTTCAAGGCCACCCTGAATTGCATAATGAGACCCTGCCTCAAAAAGAAAAAAAAAAAAAATCTTATCTGCACAGAACTTTCATGAACAACCCAAGTGTTCTCACAAGTGGATTCTTCCCAGGCCCTGTAAATAAGAGCCCACTGCAGCCAATCCTTTGACGTTGGCTTGTGTGACCCTGAGCTGAGAATAAAGTCAAACACGTGTGAGCTGACCTGTGGAACTGTAAAATGATCAATGAGTGCTGTTGTAAGCTATTAAATGCATGGCAGTGGTTAAGCAGCAAGAGAATACAATGCCTCATGGAGAACTCAGCTAAAAAGAACCAGAAAATCCTTTCAGGAAAGGGCTATAACAGCTGTCTTGTATATTAGTGGGAAGAACACATTTTCCCACCCCAAATATTTCCTTTCTTGTAGAGAGAAGTCTACTGGTACAATACTCTTGATCTTTGCTGACCTCTGACTTATTTAGGAAGCAGTAGAGTTATTTGGAATGGTGTATCTGTATAACTGTTCCTTCCTGTTTTTCCCGTGGAGAGCTGAGTCTATTGGCTAGAATTTAGATTTTGTTTTGTCTCTCCAAATTCCAACTTTTACCAGGGTAAGCCAGTTTTGGCTGTGACCATAGACTAAGTAGATCATTAATTCTGTAACATGGACCAGAACTCAAGAGTCAGTGAGAACAGAGAGATAATTAATGGGCTCACTCATCTCCTATGCCCAGTAACAAAACAAAAACTTAGACAAACACAGTGAGCGCACTCTGGAAACAAGCTGCATAATCAGACTGATTTAAGAAAAGTCTGATGTTTGCCCCTCAAAAGCCCTATAGGTGGGCTGGGGATTTAGCTCAGTGGCATAAGCACCTGCCTGGCAAGTGTGAGATCCTGAGTTCGATCCCCAGTACCACCACCAAAAAAAAAAAAAAAAAAAAAAAAAAAGCCCTATAGGTGAGATGTTCTTTTAGGTATAGAAGTAGGGTGGCCCTTATCGAAGCTGCAGCTGCTTGTACATAGTTGCTGCAGTCAAAAAGGAGCCCAGAGTAAGAATTTTCCTTGATGGTTGCCGTTCTGTTTGCTGTAACTGATCTGCAACATTTTGGGGAAAGACAGTTCCACTGTTAAAAAAAATAAAATAAAATAAAAAAAGAGAAGTAGGATATAAGAGTAGGATAATGTCTTCAAATACGTTCAACACTGGTTTTCATGGACTGAAGTTAACTCTTTTTCTCATGCATATTTTGAAGACCTAATTTCTAGGACCTCAGAATGTGACTAGATTTGGATTTAGAGCCTTTATAAAGCGATAACTGAACTAAAAGTGAGGTCATAAAAGTGGACCCTACTCTCAACAAGACTGTTGTCCTTCTAAGAGGAGGACTTTTGACCTGGTTAAAAAAAGAGAAAGAGTGAGAATTTTTGGCACGGCTAAAAAGATAGAAATATGAAATAAAAGTGGCCTTTATTTTAAAGATGTGGAGATAATCTCTATGACCTCTGGGGTCTGGCTTTTTTCTCTGCTGGATACGTGGTATGGGGGCATACATATAGCTTAGGTTTGGGGCATTACTGATGCACAAGTAGCCTATTGGAATTCATTTCGCACCACAGGTAAATTGCCTAGGGGCGGGAAGATGACCTCAAGATACAGCCCCTTGGTTCTGCTTCCCAGCCTCCCATGGCTGCAGCATCCCATTCAGGGCAAAATCCTTTCAAAGAGGAAGAAGAGGAAGAAGAGGAAGAGGAAGAGAAAGAAGAGGAAGAGGAGGAGGAGGAAGAAGACCACGACGATGACAACTTTGATACTGCTATGTATGTACAGAGGCAATACCATGTGAAGACTCAGGGGAAAAACTGAGGACAAGGAGAGGGGCTTCAGAAAAAACCAACTCCCTCAATACCTTGACTTTGAACTTCCTGCCTCCATAACTATGATGAAGTGCTGGTGTTTAGGCTCTCCAATCTGTGGTACTTTGTTACTGGTACACTGGAAATGAAACTTGTTTTATACCATTGCCTCTATTTTAGAGAACTACAGATCTTATTTTGACTTCCAAGAGTAAATACATTTATGAATTGTTAAAGAAAAGTTGGGGCCAGTTATGGTGGCCTGTAACCTCAGCACTCAGGAGGCTAAGGCAGGAGGATAACTGTGAGTCTGGGGCCAGCCTGGGCTATGTAATGAGTTCAAGGCCAGCCTAAACTGCATAGTGAAACCCTGTCTCAAGAAGACAAAAAAAAAAAAAAAAAAAAAAAAAAAAAAAATGCAAAGCAAAGTTAATAGTCTACCTAAGACGCTTAGAAGCCAGAGAAGGTAAAGGTAGCCCAGGATGAAATGACTCCAGCTGAATTAAAACTGAAGAGAACTATCTCAAAAACAGTTACAAAAGCTCAAATTTTCTGGCCACCAATCTTCCAAGCCTGTTCCTGGCAAATGCATGACCATTTATCCAAACCATTAGCAACTGTTTACATATAAGTATAGATCTATACTCCTGCCCATCTTTCCAGGAGTAGTGAAAAATCAAATACACCACTCACAAGTTGTGATGCTTGCTGGGATTTTTCTTTTTTACTCTTCTTAGGTTCACCCAAAAGGACAGTCCACTGTCAAGTTATAAAACTATATCATGCACATAAGCTTGTTCTGTGTCTGTCAGCTGGTGATAGGAGATTTCCCCAGGAGATCATAGGCATTAAGTGAGATAAGACAATACGTTGCAACACAAGTTGGTGTTGAAGGAGTATGACCTACTTGCTTATATAAATGGCTCATACTTTCTGGATCTTTTTAAAGTTTGATCTTTTTTTTTTTTTTTTTTTTTTTGTCTTTTTCGTTTTTATCGGTACCAGGGATTGAACTCACGACCGCACACTTGCAAGGCAGGCGCTTATGCCGCTGAGCTAAATCCCCAGCCCCTATTTTTTTCCTTTTTTTGAGACAGGGTCTTGCTATGCAGTTCAGGTTGGTCTTGAGCTTGTTTTGTAGCCTAAGCTGGTCTCAAACTTGCAACAATCCTTTTGCCTCAGCCTCCCAAGAGCTACGATCACAGGCATGCACCATCACACCCAGCTATGCTTGGCCTACCTTTACCATTTCCATTTGTTGATACATTGATGCTGTGTGCACCTGACCCTGTGACCAGACTGGCCAAATAACACACTTTGTTTTGCGACAGGGTCTCACTGTGTAGTTCACAATGGCCTTGAACTCACTATGTAGCCTAGGCTGACCTCAGACTCACAGATGTCTTTGTGCCTCAGCCTCCTGAGTGCTGGGGTTACAAATACACATCACCATGCCCAGCCATACACTCCATTCTTTTTTGTACCAGGGATAGAACTCAGGACCTCACACTTGGCTAGGCAGGCATTTATGCTGCTGAGCTAAATCCCCAGGCCCTCAATACTCCATTCTTGAGGAGAAGCACAAGTTGCATGGTCATCTGATATCCTCTGGTTAGGTATTTAGTCCTTTACCAAGGTCCTGTAAGAAGCAAGATCTGTTTGTTGAAAACAATAGTTGTCAGGAAAAAAAAAAAAGGCCTAGATTTATTTTTTAAAAATCCTTTGAACCTGTGCTTCCTGGGAAATCCAATTGCATCTCTGTTTGAATAGACACTTTGACTATTACTGGACTGGCTGGATCTTAAGTACCAAATGATAAGGCATCATGAAATGCAGCCCTGGACTCACTGCAGAAGCTTCTCTTGCTGTGGCCCTTACTTAAAACTAGTGGCCTAAGTGACTCAGTTTGTTGCAACTGACATTCTCCAATTGTAAGCCATCAAACACTGTGCTTCTGTTGGAGGGGAGTAGGCTGTGAAACTTGTCTTTCACTTTGGGGAAGTTATCTTCACATACTCTAGACTGTTAAATCCACAGAAACTTCACTAAGGAGCAGGTCCTGGAATCTTTAGTGTGGTTCATTGCCCACTTTCTATCTTGCATGTGTTATGTTGAAGTAATTAAAGTACTTGTTATTCCTGCCCATCAGATTTAATCATGTTGATATATTGACCACTGTGATATGTTGTGATCAGGATCTCTTCAGACTGTTTTATGGCAGAGCAGAACTGATGGAATCTTGAAGCAGTGTGAAACTATCTGGTAACTTTGGCAGCTAAAAGCAAACTGCTTCCGGTAATTTTGAATTTGGTGTAAACAACAGGATGATACCTGCACACCAAATACTACTATGAATATTGATTTTTCTCTAAGAAAAACCTGTATGTGTGACAGCAGTTGCCGTTGGGAGTCACCACCTAATGAGGTTTATGATAATCCCATCAATTTCTAAGATACATCTGATTTCCACATAAGTCAGACTGGTGGGTAAAAGGGATAGATTATAAGTGTCACCGCCTTTGCATCTTTCAGTTCTTCAGTAGTACCATTAATCTCTGCTTTTCCCAGGAAAACAGCCTTTTACTGGTCTTCATAGGGACCACCCTGTGGCACCTGCCTTGAGATAATGGGCTCTCCTACCTCTCCCTTTCATACAGCATGGTGTTAATCTCTGTCGGCAGAGGGCGCTGGCGGGGTGCTGCAGCAGGCAGGGATGCTCTTCCAGGTTCTCTTCTTCATGAGGTTTTATTTTTCTTTCCCCCTGCTGCATAGTTTTGCTGGTGTGTGTTAGGTAGGGACATCCCAGTGGTCCTCTGGCCTAGATGCACATCCAGAATGAGGAGCCCTTGGGAATCTTGCAAACACTTTGCTTTTCTCCCCATACCCATGTGTATACCATAGGACCACAGGGCTCTATTTTTGAGTAGACAGAAGCCAGTCGGAGTATGCACACCAGCACCCATCTTGACCTGCATATAGCTTTCTCTAGTACTAAACTCTAGAATAACAGTGTTTCTTTAGCCCTTGATTTCTAATTTTTGCCAGCACTATACTCACATTGAGTATGAATATTCTAGTTCTTGATTCCTGTAATGGCATGCTTTCTACATGCTTCATCCCTTCCAACAGTGTTCTAAAAGACAGACAAGTATTTACCAGGCAGATTGGACAGGGACTGTCAGCCTTGATTAACTAGAGTTATAGGCAGTCCAGCACTTGCAATGATTTGACTTGCGATTTTGATGATTTTAAGATGATATAGGGGCTGGAGGTTTAGCTCAGCGGCATAAGCACCTGCCTTGCAAGCAGGCAGTCGTGAGTTCGATCCCCGGTACCGATAAAAAGGAAAAAGACAAAAAAAAAAAAAGATGATATAAAAGTGTGATGAACAATTAGAAATTGTACTTCAAATTGTGAATTCTTTTTTTTTTTTTGAATTGTGAATTCTGATCTCTTCTTGGCTAATGATATTCAGTACAGTATTCTCTTGATGTTGGTACAGTCAGCCACATGGTCACAAAGATTAACAGCCTTCAAGCATGTCCAACCTGAGGCCTGCAGGCCAGTTGCCCTGTTTTTTTTTTTTTAACTGTTATAATCTAAAAAAAAATTTTTTTTTCCACATCAGATGGGTAATGTGCTGATGTCGTAACAAGGTTCAAAGGAGGCACATGTCATGCATGGAGCATGAACACCCAATCATCACGCTTATGAACCTGAGGATTACTGTTATAATTTTTAAAAAAGTAAAAATAGTCTTGCAAGCGCAGGGTCGTGAGTTTGATCCCCAGCACCGATGATTAAAAAAAAAAAGTAAAAATGAAGTTTGTCACTTATATACATTAATTATATTATATATTTTATGTGTAACTCAAGAAACTCCTCTTCATTCAGTGTGGCCCAGGCAAGCCAAGTTGGACACCCATGCTACAGCACACTATGTTGGTAAGCCGTGGGATACAGTAGGTTGAGTGTATTAAATGTGTTTGCTACTTAAGACATTTTCAATTACAATAGGTTTAATGTAATACCATTTAAGGAAAAAACATCTTCACTGCTGCATCATCATTTATAGTTATTGTTTTTATTATTATATTACTGTTATTATTATAATATTGGGGATTGAATCCAGAGCCTTTGGTACTGAGGTACACTACCAGCCTATTTTTTAATATTTACTTTGTGACAAGGTCTCAATAGTTCACTAAATTGCCCAGGCTGGGTTTACACTGATGATCTTTCTGCCTTAGCCTCCTAGAGTGTTGTT